ATTAAGCACCTCCTAGTACAATGAAGTACAGCAATTCTGCCCTGCTCCTCCATTGCAATCTTTTGATCTTTTACTTTCTTGTTGAACACTCAAGGCAAAAATTATTTTTAGTATCTTGATGCAGGTATCCCATTCACAACACACCTCGAAAAATTTCAAAGCAGTAGCATAGGTTGCATACAGATTTTTTTTTTTAAACATCCTAAGCACAGGATTTATATGCAAATATAACTGTGTTAGCCCTCAAAAAAAAAGCTGGATTCCACAAAAGCATACTACTAGTAGCTCAACTGCTCTCTGACACTGCTTTATACGCACTCTCTAACCAGGTCTCCCCTGTCAAAACTTTTTATACCTTCTCTTCAAACTTGGGATGGAGACAACTTAGTAATCATCACAAACACTTTGCCCTTCACATATTTAGGTTTGTTTTTTCCTCACATACAGTTTTACAGGCTAACAGAACTCAAACAGATGTGCTGAAGAGCAAAGAAACTAACACAGATTAAGAAGTCTACTCCTGACAGCCACAATACATTTCAAATGGCAAAGGCATGGTATAAAATGCTTCTTACTAAATAGTCACTTACATGCAAGCTGGTAAAGTTACTAACTATACTAGTGTACAAATCTAACTGAATCTACAGTTATATGGAAGTTTCCAGAATAGAAAAGGAACTTTTTTACAACTGTAAACATGCAACCTACAAATTATCGCTAAGATCTTAAGATGTCACTGTATACTTCCCAAGTAACTAGGATACAGACTTAACACACACATGTCCTATTCCCTCATCTTTTGGAATCCTAACAAGAAAAAAAATAAAATTAAACGCCTGTACAATTTACCCATGAACAATACATTCAAAACTCAAAAAAGTCTAAAGTTTAATCAAACTAGCTGCTTTCCTAATGCCTTGACAGTTCAGAAAAACAAAGGAACATGGAGAACTGCCAAATGAAAGAATCAGCGAGAAGAACTCAACAAGTGGCATTACTATACCTCTGACTAGAAGAACAAGAGAGGCAGCCCTGTTTTACCTACCTCCACAAAATGAGACATGCACATCTTAAACAATAAAAGGGGCAGGAATGGAGATAACATACAGCTATTAGTATTAGAAGTGACACATGCCAGAAGACTTTCAGTGTTATAAATATATTATGCTATCCAGAAGTAATAAATCTGGGTCTCAGATAATCTGCAGAGAACAGCTGGGGGGGGGGGAGGGGGGAGCGGAATCACACAGCACTATAACTGATCCAAGTGCATTTTAAGAAAATCTTCCTTTTCATCACTGGAAATGGGCCATTATTAGATCCTGAATACCAAGCTAGCAGAACTGTTTGTACACTGCAGTTATCTCCAACCAGAGACAACACAACCATGCAGACAACTGCCTGTGTTGAGAAGCAAACTGCAACTTCCAACAGCATTTTATGTTTTAATTAAACAAGTATTTATGTTAGTATTGCCAAGATGCAGAACATACAGAAAGAAAGAAAGTTGTATTACTAAAAGTCTTAAGCAGAACAGAAAAGGCCTGCCTGGCACAGAAGAGAAGCGAAAGAAAAAAGAAATTCTTTTCTTACAGCAATACCAGATGCCCAAGGAAGAAGAACAAAAGGGCCAAGAAAGTTACGAGAACTATAAGTAGAGCAAACTTAACCAATTGCATATGTACAGTAGGTCACCATGTGAGAGCTGTATTAATCTGGTAACCTCACTACTCAGTTTTCTTGGATGCTGCACAGCAGCACCAGCAGAAGTTATTTTTGGAAATAAGGTGGGGGAGGAAAGATGGTTAGGAAAGCTACAAGATATCCAAGAAGAAAAACACATGAGAATATTAAACAGAACACACAAAAAAGGAATTTCCCCACACCTTTTTTTTTTTTTTGCAACATTCAGCGGTTTTAGTGCAAGATCTCTGTTAGTATGAGTTGAAACACCTTCATGAGCAGGTCTATCTTCTGGAAGTGGCAAATAAAGAATTTCAGGATCATCCTTTCAGTGGATGCTTTACTGAACGGGAAGGGCTACATCAGTACTACTAAGCCTGCTGGGAGGAGCACATGTTGCTAAATTAATTCAAGTGACATGCTAGCATAGAAGTCTGTGGACGTTCAAAGTGAGAAGTGTGCATGTTGCATGACCTTCAAACATTTCCTCTGTTGTTCTCACACTCAATGAGTGGAGCACAACAGCACAACAGTATCCGAATTCTCACCAACACCACTACTACATCTTAAGTAAAATGCAAACAACTTAAATGAATCCAACATTTTCAGAGAAGCCAGGAAACCTACACACACTATAGTATACCTACTAAAATACCCAGAAGTTCCAATTTGGTAGGAGCATACATGTCTTTCAGAAGTAATACAACATGTGCATGCATTTACACTTACATCTGATTTTTAGCCGCTTGTCTCTGAGCTTTCCGTTCTTTCCTTTTTTGATCTGGTGGCTTAGCAAAAACAATTTCAATGTTTTCTCCCTCTAAATCTTTGCCATTCATTTCTTCCATTGCCTGAGGGAATTAACCAGACTTTAAATATACTTCTATGCATATCTGAAGTTATTAATTTTATTGTTTAGTGTACTCATTGTAAAATTTGTTGTCCAGAACTAAAATAACAATATAAAGCTAAAGAAATAATCAGACAGCATAGTACTATGGGCTCCAGAGTTATGTATTTCCTCTAAACTTAGCTCTGAATCTCAGGACTGCACGTTTCAGTTTAGAAATCTTCCACTCAGAACTGTAAATTGGCTTCAATCTTTGCAAGTTTTTTCAATTAATGAAGTGGCAGTTCTGAAAGTATAGATTTTGCAATACAGAAAAAAATTTCTAATGTCAGCACACACACGAAAACAACTAAAGCTAGGGATCAGTATATGGGTTTATTATTTTATTTTACTTGTAATAAATGTAACTTTCTTTTTAAACCAGAAGCCAAAAATCAGAATTTAACGGTCTCATTCTTACAACAAAACCAACAAAAAAACCCTGAAAACAAACAAAAACCCCACCCCACCAACACACACACACGTACAATTCCCATACGCCCAGTAATTGCTACAAGTTAAAAATCAAACAGGGGAATCCTGAAGATTCTACCACTTTTAGGGAATCTACATAGCTAAGTCTTGATGTGATACATATACTATGAAAAGACTCTCTCCATCACCTTCCTAAGCAGCTACTTTAAGGCATCTGGATGAGTAAAAAAAACCAAAAACTGAATCCCCTTGTATCCTGCATCTTCTCACAGAACATAAATAGATATACTATAGACAGGAGGAATTACACTTTCCCCTCCCAATGACAGGTAACAGAAGAAAAAACAAAACAAAACAAAAAAACCAAAACACCACCACGACCAGGCTAGCAAAATCCAGGAACGACAATTACTCAACTGTCCAGCACCTCTCATCAAAAAAAGAAAAAGGTGCTTATCGCACACCATAGTAAAGAAGTCATTCTGTTCCTGGAAGATAAAAAGATTACCTATGATTTTATCACTTGTCCTAGAGATACTGCTTTAGATTCTACCAGTAATTTGGTGAAAAGAGTCACTCAACTTCCGGCACTTCAGTTTCAAATAATAACACATGTAATTATCTTCGATACTCATCAGCAGAATTACTTAGAATAGGTGCATCTAAGATCCACTTTTCAAGTTAGCAACTGTGTCTTCCTACAAGACACCCAGAGAGGACAAAGTTATCAGTGCTAATGTGTTACCATTTCTCCAGACACAGCTCATTCTGAAGTATACAGCTCCTAAATGTTATGTTTAGCCAATACTTACACACAGAGTCCTCTTCACTTACCTTTACAGCACCATCCCGTTCATCAAAATGAATGAAAGCATAGTCTTTTAGCTTCTTCACTCGCTCTAGCTTTCCAAATTGACTGAAGGCCTTTTCTAGTATCTCCTCTGTTACAGTATTGGCAAGATTGCGTACAAACAAAACTTTTACCTAAAAAAGAAGCAAAAGCAAACAAACAAAAAACCCCTTAGAAGTACAACCTAATGCCAGAACACAAAGTTTCGCAAGTCACTGCTATTGGCAGTACTGAACACATCATTACATTTTATGTACAGCACTTTATATACATGCACATGAATATGCGTATTTATATATTCATACAGCAAGAGTTAGCTCCAAAATTCCCTGACTGGTAGAAATATTACATCTATTTTCAAACATGATTACATAAGTGTTAGTATCCTGAAAGTCAATCCGATTTGTGTCAATGTTTAAAAGAATCCCAGCAGCAGTAATTTTCAACTCAGAACACTTTTAAACTTGAAAGAAGGCAACCAGAATTGGTTACACACAAAACAATTAACTTATCAAAACATTTCATTCTTTAGACAGGTTTTTCCTCAGGTATTTGCAGAACGAACAGTCATCGCTGTAGTATCTAGGTCAGAGGTGACAGGCCAGCAGCTCCCAAGCTGCTTAACTTGTGGCTCCCCTGCTATAGCTACACCAGATACCTAGCATCAGGACTGCACTTGCTTGAGGAGTGCTCAGTGACCTGAAGCTAGAAGAGGTAACGCAGACAGAAGGGGATACTAAGGCCGACATTGCCAAGTCACCCTTGGACCGTCTCACGAGTCAAACTACGTCCTTCCTTTGAGGAGCAGCCACCTGCAAACAACTCTGGAGGTTTACTCCCTTCCCCAGGTCTCTAAAGCATGCAATATACCTAGTTCTTAAGCTACACAAAGACTGCTATGGCAGTTTTTAAGATCAGAGAGGCTGGTAGTTTTTCCAATTATTGATATATGCCCTGTTAACCACCTGACTGTGAATAAATCATCAATAAAAAGTTTCATCTACCACCACTATGATAAAAGAAAGTACAGAGCAGTCTGATGAAGGCTGAAACTACACTCTTATTTCATATAGCAAACAATGTACACTGGACATCAGGAATCACATTTATTAGTGACCTGTTAGTATTCAAAGACTCATTCTTGAGCCCACACTGAGGTTGCATTAAATGACTGTACACTAGTATGTTTACATGATGTCATCTATGGGTTCTCACAATTTACAGGCTCTTTGGCTAGTTGGGGAGAATCCCTTCCAAACACTGCCACCGTGCTGTGACAGTCTTTGGCAGTGGGAGGTGATCACAACGCTCACACAGTCCTACATTCCTAGACTGCAGCTGCACAACAGCAAAGACCTGCAACTTCTACTCACATCCCCTCCACTACTAATGGTTTCAAATTAGGTGATGACAATGGAACGTTGTAGATGGCAGCAGCAACTTCGTACTCCTAACCCTGAAGGTCAATACAAATATCACCACGCAGGGTGTGAAGGGACTAATGAAAGCTTGTTTAGATTTTTCAAGCAGAGACATACTCTCTACTCCCACCATATACAGGAACTCAATAATCCCAGACACCCTTTTAAGATGAATTACTATGTAATTAAATTACAAATAAACAGGAGATACTTCCGTAAGTCTTTGTCTCACTTGCTAGCTGAACTAGGATGGGATGCAGAGCTTTAAAGGGATAATATAGATCATGAATCTGACCCAGTGTATCAACTCTAGTCTTTGACATTAGTTGCCGATTCTCAGGAGATAACAAAAATCACAGCCAGCTCCACAAGGAAATCTGTTTCCTATCCTTTGTAAAGCTCCTCCTACATGCCTTGATGGCAAGGACATTTATTTCTTTGTAGGCCATATGTAATAATCATTTTTAATAAACTGTCGTAACTGCTACTTTATACAATTAAAAATTAATTACAGCAAATTTTGTGATGCTATCAATGGTTTTAAAAACTGGTAACTTTCAAACACTATTCATAACGAACCCTAAGTAGCCTTCACTAATAAACCCACAATGACAGTGTCAGACATAACTAAAAACCTTAAAAATCATCACTTTTTTGTTACAAAATACACTAATACAACATTCTTTAAAGAAGTAAAAAGCAACTAACAACTTTTTTCCAGTGTAGATAAATCCATTAATCTCTAACAGCTAATTTTTAACCTTTGGTCATGTTACAGCTTAGAAGTGTAGCAGCACCAGTTAAAGATGATGTTCAAGCTAGGAGGCAGGTAAAAGCATAGGTTAAAAGAAAGATGAATTTATTTTTATTTCACTTACGCTATCTAATGATGGAAGGAGGAAAAGAAACCCTCTTCATTAAAGCTCATAGATGATAACACCAAGAATCCATAAATATACATTTAACAAGCAACATATGACAAAATGCTGCTGCTGAGTAAAGGCAGAACTCACTTTTTAAACTGCTTACGATCAGACTACCCCCAAAACTTCTGCAATCTGCTTTTCCTCTACTTACCTACAACACAAAGACTTTAGACTTCATCACCACGTTCTGCAAGGGTTACTAGCCCTGTCTCCTGTCCTGTAATCTACCAGGCAACCACAAGTATAAGAATTGATTTAGCTGCTTAACCTGCCACTCCAGAACTTCCTGTGTCACTTCAGCCATGCTACAGGAATCAGGTAAAACATTAAGAATTTTATCTGCAGGTGTAAGAGGCATCAAAATAACACCTGGGAGAAAGTAAGTTAAAACACAGCTCCCAGAGTTAGAAAAGTTCACTTTGGACCAGAAATAAAATATTAAACCAACTTTACCTTTTTCTACAAGCACTAATCTTCTGTAGCACATATATCTAGCTTCAGAATCTAGCCTTCTACCTCATGATGCTTAAGGTACTTCCATTTTAAGGTAACAGCCCATTTAAATTTATGTATGCATCCATACATTACCCTCTACAACATATAAGTGTAAGTCTGGAGGAGAAAGGAAAAAAGTCTAGAGTAAACATTTCACAACTTCAAATTAGTAGGTGTCCATATATTGATGATATGACATGCTGCTTCTAGGAGAGAAGGCTGTTCACGTTCTGGTTACAAAGGTGAATTTTTCTTCTTAGAATCACAGAATAGTTTGGGTTGGAAAGGACCTTAAGATCATCTAGTTGCAGCCCCTTGTCACTGGTAGGGACGCCTTACCCTAGACCATGTCACCCAAGGTTCTGTCCCACCTGGCCTTGAACACTGCCAGGGATGGAACATTCACAGCTTCCTTGTGCAAGATATTCCAGTGCCTCACCACCCTCACAGTAAAGAACTTCTTTCTTATACCCAAGCTGAACTTCCCATGTTTAAGTTTAAACTCATTTCCCCTTGTCCTATCACTACAGTCCCTGATGAAGAGTCCCTCTCTGCCATACTTGTAGGCCCTCTTCAGATACTGGAAGGCTGCTAGGAAGTCTCCACGCAGTGTTCTCTTCTCCAGGCTGAAGAGCCCCAACTTTCTCAGCCTGTCTTCATACAGGAGGTGTAGGATGATGTCCCACTTATCGTCCTCATGGCCCTCCTATGGACTTGTTCCAACAGCTCTATGTCCTTCTATGTTGAGGACACCAGAACTGGACACAATACTCCAAGTGAGGTCTCACGAGAGCAGAGTAGAGGGGCAGGATCACCTCCTTGGACCTGCTGGTCACCTTTCTTTTGATGTAGCCCAGGATATGGTTGGCTTTCCGGGCTGTGAGCTCACACTGAAGCCAGCTCATGTTCAGTTTGTCACTGACCTATAAGAACAAATCTCATAGTTTGTTCTTATGGACTTGCTTTTCCAGGAGTCCTTACAAGAATACTGCTGACCAGATGATCATTCTGATAAAAGCAACCTACTCCTATTCAGTGTTTCCTCCAGAGCCTTCTACCACAGGAATGTGTAAGATGACAAGGATCAACAGCTCTCCCTTTGCTCCTGACAGTAGTCAGAAGCAATGACAGCTAACCTGCAGCTCCCATCTGTAAGATTACAAGACTGCAGTAGCACCTCAGCTGCTCTTAGGAGAAAGACAGCAACAAAAAACAGAGAGTAAACCTAACACTTCCAGAAGTGCCAGATGTGGTCAGTTTCTCAAAACACACAGTAAGTGGGCAAGGAAGACTGGAGTAGCGACTTTCCTTGCTAAAAGAATACACTAAGGGACAGAGCCAGCAAGGAAGACACAATGCTTGTCTCAACTTCTGCCTTCAGACACAGGCTAGATGTTCTCTAGCTTTTTAGTTTATTCTTTCACATAGTCTCACTCTTACATACATTTTTCTACCCAAGCTCCATGCCCTATCTTTGCCATATGGCACTAGAAGTTTACAAGTTGATTGTCTGCATGTTTTTCATATTTGCATTTCTGCCACTTTCATGTCCCATTTCAAATATAAAACAATTAAAGGCACTAACTCATTCAAAAAACTGTATATTAAATAGGGCAAACCATTATCAAGTTTTAATGTCTTTAGTCTTTCACTCCCCACATCTCTAAACTTACTCAGAAAAGATACCTGATTATGTCCTCTATCACTTCCTACTCATCTATTCAGTCATGTCAGCAGAAGTTCCTGCTCATTTATTTAAACAGTTTGATGGATTAGGTCTCTTCTCTTTTGAGCCAAAAAACTGAACAGAGAGATAGGCTGCCGTATTTAGGACATACCACCTTCAACAAGTTTTACTTGCAAGACTTTTCCCCACTGCTGATAGTCTATGATGCCAGGCAAGGAAAATAAAGTCTGCAGACAGGGTAGTCCAAAAGCTTCTGTAACATGTGTATTACAAAAGCAGCTTTTTTCCCTAGAATGAGCCCCCACCCCAACCCTTTTCCCTTATGGCTCACCAAAGAGGAGATCCCAGCCAAGCTATCTTACTAGGTCCACCAAAGTAGGACTCCAGCAAGTGACGTGTCTCAGATGAGAGTAAAAGCACAGACAAAAAGCAAGCTAAGAGAAAGAGATAAGGATACGGGCTAGCTACGAGTTTCCATTAAACAACTCAACTACACAACATAACTGAAAAGACAGGGATGGGCATTATCTGATGGGGGAAAAAAATAAAAATGAAAAAAAAAAAAATTTAGGTAATTACTTTCTGGCAAAATACCATCCCCACACATACGTACAAAAAACAGCTACAATGTACTTCAAAGAGTTAATAATCCAGACTTCAGTTTCAATGAAATATTCAAAATCCAAAATATTGCTAGTTTCAGTATTTTAAGGAATTACCCCCTCCCGCAAACTAAAATAAGATACAAAGCTCAAAATACAAAGTAATTGCGTAACTTCTCAGAAGCAACCGCTAAAGGCAGCTTTGAAAATATCTTTGTGCATCTTACTGACATGTTCCAACTCTGATGAGGTAAGCAAAGTTCCAGGTTTAAAAATAATTAAAGCTTGTTCTGTGATCATACCCAGATGTCTGTCCCTCCAAATATTAAGCTACAAAATCATTTTAAGTTTTGGAGTCATCTCCACTTCCAAATGAGGAATTAAGTCCATCGCTTTATGTGTCATTTTGGCAAGAACTATGTTCAACATTCAGCTTCAGGAGCATAAAATAACATCAGTGAAGGGTTTTTAAATTCACATCAATTCTAAAGTGTATTCATGTTTTTATCAGCTCACCTACAACATCTCTCAAGACGGAGGAAAGATGCTATTTAAACTTAGGCTAATGTCAGGAAGTACTTATTTTGGAACAAGGCACTTCAAGTATATTATGGTTCCCTTATAGCTTTATTACCTTTGCCATCACTTCAGGATCTGGGTCTTCTATAGGGTCAGCCCATTCCACCGTTACAACATTTCCCCAGACTTTCACTTTGCCACTCATTAACCTACGTCTGGCCTGAGCAGCGGTTTTGTGATCTTCATATTCAAGGAAACAGAAACCCCGGTTCTTTTTCTTGTCATCAGGCTGGTGATACAATATGACATCTGTAAGACCCTCTGAAATTAAGCAAAATATTTGTTATGGCTTCAATCCATTAATTTGTATTATAAAGTGGGGATCATCTTTCTGGTAAATACACATCTGACAAGTGGTTCCAAAAAAGGCATGAACACACTAGACTTTCAAGACCATGTACGTAATATGTTTCCCTATCTTGAAAACTAACATTCTCAAAGAAAGACATTAGACTATCCTGAATCAGGTTTCATTTTTATTAGGTGAAGAAAGCTTAGCAGCTACAGAAGAGTACCTTTCCTCTAACTGAATGGAGGAGACATAAGGGCAGCCAAAAGTTGCGACTTGTCAGTTCTCCTCTCAAACCCTTTAGTCACACCACTTCGCAGCACGTGTTTTTCCATGGATGTCTCAATAACAAGAGACCAAATCTGCATGATTTTAAGACATCCAGAAAGTTTACGTGTTGCTCCAATGAACCCAAAGAATCTAATTCAGTAGCAGAGAGAGCCATTACATGTTACCTTTGCCAGTTTATATACCATTATCAAAGGGTTGCTTATCAAATCACTAAGAATTCTGAAGCACAGAACTAGTTACATTGTACAACCTGCTTCAGTTTTGCCTTGAAAAGTTTTAAAATAATCATTAGTATTGAAATAACTATTTCTTTCTTTGATTTTTATTCTTTTTTAAACATTACCCACTTATGTTCTAGGTAGAGCTTGCAAGCACGCACCTAGTCTTACCACAAATAATTTTAGCCCTGAGCACAACAATAGGTTAAAAAACCCAAACCCCTAGGAAGTCAGGACAAATGCCAAGTGGTCTTCATTTGGATTCATTATCACTCGACCACCAGCCAAAAACATGGTGAAGAGAGTTCATCACTGATGATGTCTGACATCTTTCCAGCTCTACAAAACATAGTTACTGACTTACCTGTTACTTTGCTAAATTCTTCAACAATCTGCTCCTTGGTTTTACTCTTAGGAATAGAACCAACAAAAAGCCTATTATTGGCAACAGAGATGCATACGCCGATGTGTTTTCCAGAACGAATTTCATGGTTGTTATACTGAAAGAAAAATAATTGGACAATCATCACTTACATGTAATTTTCACTCCTCTCCAGCATCTGCATGCCGAATATTTCACTTCTGCAAACGTAGCATTGAGCAATATATTAAATTCTTTGGAGCATAACGCAATCTTAAAAAGCATATTCAACTGTTTGTTCCCAAGTATATTTCCAATATGGGTTTTTTCATACTACCATACATTAACTACCTGAAAAGCAGCCTTGAATTAGGTGCTCTTGAATAGAAAGTTGGTGTTTTTAGGTATATAGTTTACATACCATCTGTAAACTTGGATAAGACATGAACGGGCCCAAATCATGATCTTGGTAAAGCACCAAAATAATCAGGCTACCAAATTAGTTATGCCTAGATACTGCTTCCGCCTCCTGTCACCACTGAATCAATGCCTGAAGTTAGTAACAGAGGTACTACTACCCTCTAGACACTATTTTCCACACTCCCCCCACTAAGTTCTATAAGAACCTACTCACAAACACGTCAAAAACTGCATAGTCCATCTTGTCATTTTTTCCACTTAAACTTTCACCAGAAAATGTAGCTTATTTCCAGCAGCAAATGGCAAGCTGTACTGTTATACACTGCTGCCAAGCTGCATATTTGCATAACCCACCTGTACCTGCACTTTGATCAAGCTTACACTTGCTCTACACAAAAATACACCATAAGCTAATACAGTCTTCAGTTCATTTTCCAACAAGCTTCACCTCTAGTACTTATCCTGTACCTATCTACAGTAATGTTAATCACTCAAATATTTTGAAAAACTGGTATCTCAACAACTTCACATTAAATAGGATTGAGAATTAAAGATGCGTGCGAAAGAACACAACTGGAACTGTAATTCTTAAAACAGTATAAAACATGAGGTAAACACAGACATGTTAACAGGGAAAAAATACCTGGGGTTAAGAAAAATGACAACCTCAGACTTCTGATAGTCAGTGCTTGTGTGAACATCTGAGATGCTATTTCTACCTAATCAGCGAGGGTTAACCACACTGGATTAAGTACTGGACATAAAAATAACTACTGCTTGTATCTGCAAGTCTTCTCAGTATCAGAAGGGAAGTAACAGAACCCGCCCTGTCCCAGGAAGTCCAGGAAGCTGGGAAATAAGTTGTGTATCAGAAGATTACAACCAGTATCAAAAAGAACACCACCTGTTAAAGTACCAGGTTATTATAAATTGGACCATGGGTTCAGCATTTCCAAGAGCCTTTCAGCAGCCTCTCCAAGGCATGGGTAACTAACAGAAGTAACATTTTCAACTGAGCTCCACAGCCGTATTTTGCTAACACCCCTGCAAGTCACTCCTCAACAATTTGGAAGACTTACAATACACCAAACTAGCCAGCTAACTATGGTTGGAACCATTCAAAAAACTGACAAATGCCATAGTTTCTAATTTAAAACTAACACTGCCCTCAGAGAAGTTCGCATAAAGGCTGAAAAACTGCCCCATCAATTGCAACACTTTTCAACTACTACACTCAGTGGCTGTTTAACTGAAAACCAGAACACGACACACTTTCTTCCTGCACATCAGATATCAGATATAAAGGGACTCCAACTACTTCTTTGCCTTGTATCATTTAGTGGAAGACTGAGGCCAGGAATGTTACTTTTATGGAAACACAACCTGAATGATTTTTTCAGAGAATGCTGCTTTTAAGCAAATTCAACTAAGCAAAGAAAAAATTCTTTTTGTTCATTTATTAGGCGCCTCTGAGAACATACGTTATTTGATTCATGGCTTTGCTAAGTCATGTGCATAACTCTCAGAGTTCACACACAATAACTAGGTTGACAATGAAAGAGGTATATGCAGTTATCCTCAGTATATCTGAACTGTGCACAGGAACACCAACCATTCTTATTTAAAAAGCTAAACAGTATATACCAGATGTTTTTGTACTTCCACTTTTGTAGACATTTCTATACTTTTTCAAAACACATTCCCACCTTCAGCTCCACCAACTTACATTAATACATGTCAACAGAGTGCCCTAACGGCTTAAGATGTACGTTATTACAAAACAAGAAATTGTAACCCTACTATATTAATTAATGCAGTTATGGGTACACCTCAGGATGAGTACAGTTAGCACTCGAGGGGCATATTGCACAGTGATCTCGGCCAAATCAATGTAGTAGTAGCTAGCTCAAGAAGTTCAAATTCAACTTAACCAGGAAAACAAAGGAGCACTGTGAGGAGCAGGGTGGTGTTTCTTTCCCCCCCTCTTTTTTAGTGATGGATACTTGATGTATAAAATCTAGAAAGCTTATTAAGAGTTTGATCTAAGGAATAACATACTATTTCACACCTCCGTGTAAAACAGAGGAAGTGGTTTTTAACCTGGCAGGATATACAACTTTTTCCAGTCATCTGTCGCAAACAGAAGAAACCTTAACACTTAGGAATGATCACTTCCCATCTGAAGTGCCTTATGAAATGCTCTGACTTCTGGAAGCCTTTTCCCAGCGCGGGGCCCCCTGCCGGTGCACAAGCAAATGAGAAATCACAGCCAACCTGACCAACACTTCTCTTGGAGCACAGCAACCCAACCACCACTTCTCTCCAAAACTCACCCAGGTGCAAACACCTCAGAAGTCACTGCTGCTAGTACAACTTCTGTTGATAATAAAGGCTCATCTAACTGGACCAAATAGAAGTCCATCAGCTCCCCCACCCCCCCACTCCCACCCCCTGTGCCTAATACAGCCAGTGAAATAAAAACACCTATCAGACTTTTATGAAGTGATCTAACAATGACAGTTTCATCTTAAGAATGTAAGCATCAGGACAAACTGCTTATAAGCCAGTGTTCTTACGAAGAAAAAAAAATCCACGTAGGAAGAAAACTTACCAGTTTAACAGCTTCCTGAGCTGCCTCTTTAGTACAAAAAGTGACAAAAGCATATCCTCTATTTAGACCAGTTAGTGGATCCATCATTAAGCGTAGATCCCATATAGGGCCAGCTTTCTCAAATAATGGAACAAGTTCATCTTCAAACAAGTCTCTTGGAATCTTGCCCACAAATATCTACAACAGGCATACAGAGTGTTGTTTATAAAAAAAATACTTCCAACGAGTAAGAACACATCTACATAAACATCTCCTTCTTCTTACCTCTGTACCAACAGAAGGTTGCTGTCCTGAATAGACTGACTCTGGAGGAGGTCCACCATACTTTCTCTGTCCAGTAGTCACATCAAGAGTGTAGCCAGTTCTCTCCAAGAGTGCCTTCAAGTAAGAAACTTAAAATTTTAAAATCATATACAAGTTGAGCTAGTGTAGATGCACTTCAATCACAAACAGACATGCTTGTAATTCCTCTTAAACTGTACTGCTTTGAAACTCCCACAGGCAAACAAGCCTACTGCTAGTACTTTGACAAGTAACCTGCAACAATTACAACTACTAGGTAAAGAAACACTGCTAGAAAATTAAGATATTCCCATAAATTTCTCCCTGATTCCTTCATTTTCATACAAAAAGGAAAAAAATAAGGACAAGAAATAGAATAGCAAGCTTTCCTTTAATTAAAAAGATCTGAGTCTGAGCCACTTCTTGTTTTGGCATGTCCAATCCTGCAAACATTTATGCACAGGAGTTCCCTTCACTTAATGAGATTACTCATAAGTGTGAAGTTGAAGAACGCATGTTTAAGTGCTTACACCCCTGTAACACTGTCCAGACTCCTTCAGGTATCCAACCACTGACATGGTGGTACTACTTCCTTTCTCTTAACCTCCACCTTCCCCCCTAAATTCCTTGTGGGAACATAGAGCATCCCAGCACAACTGAGCCTCACTAGAATCACTCCATACAGTCAGATAACACTACCAATGTAAATGTTAGATGAAATTCCAATATACAAACATAATGAGAAACTCCTCTGAAATTAGTCTTAAGAATTTTGTCCAAAGATAAATCACCTCTACAAACACAGAAACAATGTATTAAAGAAGCATAATTATAATCTAGAGTTCGTAATTTCGCTACTGGAGAATTGCAAAGTTATTTTAACTGCTATAGCCATGAGCAGTAAAAGCTAAGCTACTTTAAGTTGGTTAACGAAGTTGTTGTTTTACGTGGTAGTAGCAAAAACTGCATCAGGTTTTCAGTTTTATTTTATAATTAATGGCATCCCAGCCTCAAAGTCAGGAGAAAAAAAGATTTTCTAGTTTTGCAAGCTACTTAGTTATCTGTAATATACAGCACGCTCAATTTGCACTTTACACATGAAAAGTTAAAGATTAAAGATTCTCTCACTTTTTAAGACGTCAACTAAGCATGCTTAGATGGTTTTTCTTCCCTTAAGCTTTGGTGAAGTTGCTAATCACAGAATTTTTAATAAATCACAGTATGCCTAACTCTTAAGACAGGAGTCTTTTGCTAGTAGAAGACTCAGTCCAAGAAATAACGTATCCATTATTAAGGCAGTTTGGGGTACAGTGATTATGTCTTAAGAAGTAGACTAAGTCCTGTATCCACTACAATAGGTTTCTTTCAGACATGTGGTATCTCCTCCATACTGCAGAGTTGCTTTAAACCTGAACTGAAGAAAAAACAAAACAAACAAGAAGGAACAAAAGCAGCAAAAAAACCAATCAGCAGTAGCTGAAGTTATGCATTCTGAATGCAAGGAATTGCGCTAGCACATTTCCCAACACTTTTAACTGCGGACAAAACATAGCTGTTTCAACTAGACATTAAGCAAACTGTCAAATCTTTTCCACTTTTCTATACATTCGGTTGAGTAATCAACAGTGATTAACTTTCCTCTTGAAGGGGAAAAAGTGCAAGATAAAAAAGGCAAATGAGTTTTCAATAATGAAAAAAAAAAATCTAAAATAGCCCTTTTAAGAAAAACAGTTCCAAAAGAATAAAGGAAACTATCACAACACCCTTGAAAAACCACAGACAAACAGTGTAACTTTTATCTTTTAGGCACATACCTTTATTTTTGCCTCATCTGGTCCTTTGCTAGAATCTGCCACCTTGGTCCCCTGTTTTTCCCTCTGCCTGTATGTCTTCATGACTCCACATAAAAAGGCACTTTTGTTCTGCAAAAGATACATTAATCTTCAGTTCTGAAAACATGACAAGCCAGAAATTAGTTTTACCTTGAACTAATACAGTGCTTGTTTTACATATCACATCTGGATCACTGAAGTGACTTAAGCAAACTTCTTGCCAGTCAACTAGCAGTTTAACCCTCAATAATTGTATTCTAGATTGCTTAGCATTACCTGAACATGTGAGAGATCACTGTCTTTAAACTGCTGAAGCACTGCCAATGCACCTTCTTCATTAAATTCCTTTAAAGCTTCAATAGCTCTTTCATCTAGATCACTATGTGCAACTAGCCCTAGAGAAAAGGGGGGAAAAAAAAATTACTAATTATATTTGGGTAGCAATCTTAGTTTAACCAGATTTAACACATCTATCACATTTCAGTGACCCCTACTTCAACCACTGATTAATATAAGTTATTATATACATGTGCAACCACTAGAGTCCTCTTAACGGTAAATATTTAAGTGCATTTAACGTTTTTTTAATCAAAAAGCGTCCAAAAAAAGTTAAGATTCAGAGTAACAGTTACTACGTTTATGTATTCATTTGACTTCTATGAAACCCAGATGTTACACAGACCAAGTTTATTTTCAATATCCTGAAGCCGAATTCAGAAGGATCTATCAAAACCTGACTTAGCCTGCCTAGCAATGGTACCTTGGTACATTCTGAGAAGACTTTATTATAAAGACAAATAAACTGCAGCGTTCAAAGTGACTACCACAATCCAAAAGTCAAGCTTAAAAAATGCCAGCAATCACCATGTCTGAGAGAACCAACACAATAACCTTCGCGTCCATAAGCCCAAATACTGTCACGAATTATTACATACATGAACAGATGAATACCAAAGCTTCAGTTACTTACAGTTACCTACAACTACTGTGAAAAAAGCACCATGACCACATCACCTACTCCTCCTAAAAATTATCTGTTGCCCATTCCAGCTACTGCTATGGTCACTTGCATACTTCTCTTCATTCCCACCTCTCAGTCCAAGTGCCCTGGCCCAAGACTTTTCTCTGAAAAATGCTACAACAAATCCAAGCACTGAGTGGAAAATATCCACAGATTTTGGTAAGACTGCAGTTCCCATACTTTTGGAAACCACAAAAAGTTGCTATTTTAGCCCAAACACAGCAAAGTCCAATAAAATACTGTATGTGTGGTTTTGCAAGTTTCACATCTTACCTGCAACGTAAATTTCATCTAGTTTTTCAGCAACTTTCTGTGGTAAACCAGCATCAAGCAATGTCTGGAAATGCTCAGAATGGGTAACTGCAGCAGAAGTATCCATGGGCTCTTCAGTACCATTCCCATTAACATGTTCAGTAGCCATGTTTCCAGATATCTGTTCAAATGCAATAAGCATCATAATTAAACTAAAAATATCTTCAGGCAGAACAATTCAAATGACAATACACGCAAAAGACTGCCCTATTCTTGGCAAAAGGAGGAAAAAAAAACAAAACCCCACAATCCAACAAAGAAAAACCAAACTAAACACACATACACCCCAACACCCC